ACTTCATGAGTTCCTGCCCTCAGTGGCTCCTCACTTCCAGATTGGTGAATTTTTAATCAATAAGGGGCAGAATTAAGATTGTTGTTGCCAGAGTTGGAAAAATCCCCATGGATCCCTGTTTTCTTTATTTAAGAGCAGTTTTTTGTAGGTAGTTTGTATTTCTCCTGCTCCTCTTCCTTCCTGTTTCATCTTCTATCCACTGACTTTTAAGCATCTGCTTATCTTTTGTTTTTTTATGAGGGTAGCTGGGAACACATTTTATTTTCTTGAAATAAGAAAAGCTTATTTTTGCTTCACTTAAGGTTGAAAGCTTTTTTTTGCTTCACTTAAGGAAACCACGTGGGAGGTTTTGAAAAGTGCACTTTTCATTTTCATTGCTGTCCTACCAGCAGCTACGGGTATAACTCTGTAAAGGAACAGGGTAGGTGGTGGGAAGGGAATAGCCTCAGAGATTCTGAAAAGTATGGGAGACATCCATGTACCTTGATTAAAGAAAACAAAAGCTGAGCATTATATAGAGCAGGAATACAGTAAGAGACAAGCTCTGTCAACAGCATTGCTTGTGCAGATGGCTATATTCTGAGTAAATTCTAGTCCAGAACATTCTGTGAGGAAAGGAGGGAGGAGGAATACCTACTGTGGTGGTGTTTTCTCAGTTAGGTGATAACCTGGCTTTATTGGTGAGAACTAATTCTTGGGAAGGTCAGGGCGTTGCTAAAGATAACATAGTCATACAGTGCTGACTGTGTGCCATGCACTGCTAGACCAACTCATTTTATTTTGAGACAGAGCCAGGATTTGACCTGGGTCTTTCTTACCCTGTATATAACCTGTGCTGCCTTTTATCTTGTGGGACAGGAAACCTCAAATGTTGACATTGTACATATTACAGCACCCCAGGCATTCATTCAGCAAATGTCTGTCTAATTTTTATTGGACATTGGGAACAATGAAAAGAATGAAAAGTGTTTATTTGCTAGTAAGTATTAGATGGTAATTCCTTTTACAGATTAGTTTCATTTCATCACAACCTTCCAAGCACCTAGTAGACACACCATGTGTCTTCATTTAAGTAGTTATAGTAGCGTGCTTTCTTCCTTTACTTTAGATTTGAGTCATCAGGGTGATCTCCAAGAAAATCTTTTTTTTTTTTTTTTTTTTTTTTTTTTTACGACAGGGTCTCGCTCTGTTGCCCAGGCTAGGCTGCAGTGGCACGATCTCGGCTCATTGCAACCTCTACCTCCGGGATTCAAGCAATTGTCCTACCTCAGCCTTCCAAGTAGCTGGGATTACAGGCATGCACCACCACGCCCAGCTAATTTTTGTATTTTTAGTAGAGATGGAGTTTCACCATGTTGGCCGGGCTGGTCTTGAACCCCTGACCTCAAGTGATCCTCTTGCCTCGGCCTCCCAAAGTGCTGGGATTACTGGCATGAGCCACTGCACCCGGCCATCCAAGAAAATCTAAAAAGTTACGTGACTTAAAGGTCACCTTAGTAAGAATACCGTATTGTTTACAGTATGGCAGATGTCCTATATAACTTCAGCTGCAGCATTCGGAATCTACTGTGTTACTGTCTTACTGTTCCTACCACCAGCTGATTCTGTATTTATTTATTTATTTTTTTGAAACGGAGTCTCGCTCTGTCGCCCAGGCTGGAGTGCAGTGGCCGGATCTCAGCTCACTGCAAGCTCCGCCTCCCGGGTTCACGCCATTCTCCTGCCTCAGCCTCCCGAGTAGCTGGGACTACAGGCGCCCGCCACCTCGCCCGGCTACTTTTTGTATTTTTTTAGTAGAGACAGGGTTTCACCGTGTTCGCCAGGATGGTCTCGATCTTTTGACCTCGTGATCCACCCGTCTCGGCCTCCCAAAGTGCTGGGATTACAGGCTTGAGCCACCGCGCCCAGTTAAAAAACAAAAGAGGAGATGAAAATGGAGTAGCGTTCAACAAATACTTGTGTGTGTCTTATAATTTGTAGCTAAATCTAGTTGCAGACAGTGGGCACAGGCTTTACAGGCCTTGTTACTGATGTAGCAGGAGGGACTCTGAGGAGATAACATCTGCCCAAGAACCACGGGCAGGACTAACCCCTGTGCTGGGCTACTCCAGGGACTCCTGCATCACTTGTTCAGCCTGTGCCTGTGTTTGCTCAAAGATGATGTCACTGGTGATCATACATACATTCCTTACTCAGTTAAGGTAGATAATAGTGTGCTCTCAGACTTGAGATTTTACAGCAGAAGCTTAAGGTTCATTTGTTGTTCATTTACCAAGTATTTATTAAAGGAAGGAACCCTTCGAGCCAGTTTTAAACAAGCAGACCCCCAGAGTTGACCCTCAATTTACCGCAGATTGTTTTCGCCTTTTGTCCTTACATATTCCTGAGTGCATCTCATGACCTGGTTTTTAATCAGCTGGCCTGCCGTCTGTTTCTAGGTCTGGTATGCTGCCATTTGCATCTCATCTCCTCCAGTATGAACCCCCACATTACCTGTGTCTCTCTGCAGGGTTCTGGCCAGGTATACAGAACCACCTGTTCAAGCAGCCTCATCCGACACTTTTTAGAACCTTAGAGCACTTTTATTTGGCATCATCTACCGTATTGTGAAGTAAAAAGCAAGGGACACACTTTGGAGTAATTCCCTGCCCTGCTTTTTTTTTTTTTTTTGAGATGAAGTCTTGCTCTGTCACCAAGGCTGGAGTGCAGTGGCACGATCTTGGCTCACTGCAACCTCAGTTTCCCAAGTAGCTGGGACTACAGGCATGCGCCACCACGCCCAGCTGATTTTTGTATGTTTAGTAGAGATGAGGTTTTACCATGTTGGCCAGGGTAGTCTTGATCTCTTGACCTCCCGATCCACCCACTCCAGTCTCCTGAAGTGTTGGGATTACAGGCGTGAGCCACGGCGCCCGGTCTTTGCCCTGCTTTTTAAAATCACCAGTTAGACTTTTGTGATGAACTATGGTCATTTCATTTGTCATCTGCTGACTTTCAAGTAAGTTGAAATTTTACTGTAATCTGAGTGAAGTAACCAGTTTGTAACTATTTTAAATATTAAAACAAATGGAAAATTAGTGGTTTTATATTAGAATTAATATTGAGCTGCAGTATGTAATTAGTTGCTGTTTGAATTAGATAAACTTTTTCTTTTGTCAATGGAATATTTTCTCCCAATTTTTAGAATACATGCTTCTATAAGAGTTGGAATTCTTTTTCAAAATTGATTTCTGTTTCCTAAATTGGTTGACGGTTCTCCCAGAGCTGGGAGCATGCTTTTGGTATAATCGCATAGCAAACGGAGATGGAGAAGCTCAGACTTGTTAGGACTCCTCTGTTTACTCTTTGTGTCATAGTGGGAAAGTGGATCACTCTGAGCCTGTCTTCTGTAAGTTTGGCCATTGTACCTAGAGAGTAAGATTTAGGAGCCAAGAGGGAATAGGGACTAGTCAGGATTTTACTGCCTACCTTCATACAGTTCTGTACTACTTGATTTTTTTTTAGCTTGTGTTATTATTTTTTTAATTCATAAAGGAAAATCGTGCATGAACATATGGCAGTGCTATTGACTAGTGCATTATTTTTTCTTGTACATTTGGGAAGAAAGATTAGAATATCCTCAGGGAGGAAATTGATTCATCTTTGGGGGTGGCAGCTTCTTCTGGAGGTTGAGTCAATTCGTTTTCCTTGGTATTTTCCATGGTACTTGAAAGCTAGCCACCTTGTATTGGAGGAGTACATATTTGAAAGCAAATACCAAGCACTGGGCCATGTAATCTATCTCTTTAGAATTTTTTAAAACATAAGAATAGTTTGTTCATTATTCAACCTGAGCTGAGACTAAAAATGACCCCCAATTTCATACTTATTTTTACTGCTAAACATATTGTTTAAAGTAATACTTGTTTGTTGTAGAAAGTTTTAAGTAGAACTAAAGGTTTTGTCTTTCTTTTCCTTTTTTCTTTTTTTGAGACGGAGACTTGCTCTGTCGCCATGCTGGAGTGCAGTGGTGCAATCTCGGCTCACTACAACCTCTGCCTCCCAGGTTCAAGCGATTCTCCTGCCTCAGCCTCCCAAGTAGCTGGGATTACTGGTGTGTGCCACCACACCCAGCTAATTTTTGTATTTTTAGTAGAGATGGGGTTCTGCCATGTTGGTCAGGTTGCTCTTGAACGCCTGACCTCAAAGTCATCCGCCTGCCTCAGCCTCCCAAAGTACTGGGATTATAGGCGTGAGCCACCGCATCTGGCCCTGACTAATTATTTTTAAAAATTATTTGTAGAGACAGGATCTCACTATGTTATCTAGGCTAATCTAGAACTCCGGGCCTCAAAGGATCCTCCCACCTCGGCTTCCGAAGTGTTAGGATTACAGGCATGAGCCTTTGTTTTTCTCTTTTAAAGAAGACTCATAATCTCATCACCAGGTGATAACTGCTGTTAATATGTCAGAATATTCATTCAGAAGTTTCTCTGTGGGATCAATAACTGTATTATCATGATTCTGTTTTGTTACTGTCTGTTCTTTTAGTCTTGTACATGACAAGTGTATTAGTCTGTTTTTATGCTGTTGGTAAAGACATTCCCAAGACTGGGAAGAAAAGGAGGTTTAATGGACTTACAGTTTCACATGGCTGGGAAGGCCTTACAGTCGTGGTGGAAGGTGAGGAGGAGCAAGTCATGTTTTACATGGATGGCAGCAGGCAAAGAGAGAGAGCTTGTGCAGGGAAACTCCCCTTTTTAAAACCATCAGATCTTGTGAGGCTTACTATCAGGAGAATAGCACAGGAAAGACCATCCTCCATGATTCAGTTACCTCCTATTGGGTCCCTCCCACAACACTTGGGAATTGTGGGAGATACAAATCAAGGTGAGATTTGGGTGGGGACACAGCCAAACCATATTAGCAGGCCTGAAATATACACGTGTATCAATTCTAGTGGACCATAGGGTGTACTCTGTCCCTCAGTTTGTTTACTGGCATCTCATCTTGTTTTTCAGTGGACGAATACATTGCCATTGCCAAAGAAAAGCATGGGTACAACATGGAACAGGTAATATCATGGTTTTCTTTCTTTTGCTGTTAAAAATGAGTATTTATAACTAAATAATTTTGTTTTTTTCTTCTCTGTATTGAGTAGCAGTGTTTCCTCATTAGCAATATTTTGGTAATTACTAGTAGTGTTACACAAACTCTGGTCTTCTTTTTCTTGTTCAAGATGAATATTAGAGGACGCTTTGACTTGAAAGGCACATCTGTGCATTTCAGCAGATCTACAGCCTTTAGGACACTGATTACTTAGTGACTACTAAGGAGCTGGATGCTTGAACATAGTGCTTTCTCATGTGAATATGTGATTTTTCATTCTTCTGGTTGTATAATGATGTTTTTTGACGCATGTTTTCACATTCTTACCTGAAGTGTTTTAATATTCACCATTTTGAATAATTTTCAGGTTGTAAATGTTTGATTAAAGTCCCTCCCCTCCCCTCCCATCCCCTCCCTTCACCTCCCCTTCCTTGAGATGGAGTCTTGCTCTGGCAACCAGGCTGGAATGCAATGGCGCATCTCAGCACATGCAACCTCTGCCTCTGGAGTTCAAGCAATTCTCGTGCCTTGGCCTCCCAAGTTACTGGGATTGCAGGCGCGCACCACCACGCCTGGCTAATTTTTGTATTTTTAGTAGAGAAGGGGCCTCCCAAAGTGTCGGGATTACAGGCGTGAGCCACTGCGCCTGGCCAAGATTTTCTTTTAAATGTTGTTTGGAATGTACTAATAAGAAATCCACAAGATTTATTTTTCTGCAAAAGTGTGATGATACCTTGTTTCAGCTTTAATGATTTACTTTAAACACATCAAGTTGGATTAATGCTTTCCATGGCATTAATCTAGATCTTAAAACCTGTAAGTTACTGACATTTCTTATTTTTCTGAATGATGGAAGTTACCAAAAGTTTAGATTATATGAAATTGTATACTTTCTTTTGGACTTGGCCTTACATTTAATTACTCTATCCTGGTCATTGAAGCTACTTCTAATTATTAGATGATTGCAAAATATACCTGTGTGAAATCTTAAGGATGGTAGTCTTGATCATTTCTCCTTTAAAAATGATCATTAGTGTCCGGGCGCAGTGGCTCACACCTGTAATTCCAGCACTTTGGGAGGCTGAGACGGGCGGATCACGAGGTCAGGAGATCAAGAACACCCTGGCTAACACGGTGAAACCCCATCTACTAAAAATACAGAAAAAAAAATTAGCTGGGCGTGGTGGCGGGTGCCTGTAGTCCCAGCTACTCCGGAGGAGTAGGAGAATGGCGTGAAACTGGGAGGCGGAGCTTGCAGTGAGCCGAGATGGTGCCACTGCACTCCAGCCTGGGCGACAGAGCGAGACTCCATCTCAAAAAATAAATAAATAAAAATAAAAAATAAAAAAAGAGCATTAGCATGAAAATTCCCTATATTATAATTCCAGTGTAAAAATTACCATTAGCAAAGTATTGCTAGATTATCTCATTTTACCTCTTTTGTTGCTTGTTCTATTTCTACCATTTTTCTAAGCTGAGACCTTTATATATCTCATATATAACATATATATATAGTTTTTAAAAGAATAACACAACAATTGTGCTTTCATAAATTACCTTCTTCGTTTATATATTGAGGCAGTAAAGTGTGGTACTTGAAGAGCACAGATCCTAGAACCATGCTGGTTCTGTGACCAGTGGCAAGGAAAGTCAGTGCCTCAGAGAAGACCTTCAGTTTATACTCAGGCTGATCCTCAGCATGGAGGCAAGCCTACAACTAAAAGAAAGCAAAACCTTAGTAAAAACGTAGCAAACCCTGAGAAAGAGTGTGATTATGAGTTACTACATTATTAGATGTCTAGGTTTTAACAGAAAAATCACAGAGCGTACAAAGAAATGGTAAATTATGCCCATTCGGTAGAAAAAAATTGATCAACAGAAACTGTCCCTGGGAAAAGACCTTAGTGGCAGATCTACTAGGCAAAGATTTTAATACAACTATCTTAAAGATATTTTTAAAGAACTAATAGAAGATATAGAAAAAGTCAAGAAAATGATGTATGAACAAATGGAAATAACAGTATGGAAATGGAAAACCTAAAAGGAAACCAAATTGAAATTCTAGAGCTTAAACACTTGAAATGAAAAATTCACTAGACATGCTCAAAGGCAGATTTGAAGAGTCCCAAGAAAGAATAAGAAAGAACGTGAAGAAAGGACAGTGGCAATGATTCAAGTCTGAGCAGCCAGATGAGAAAAGATTGAAGAGTAACCAGAGCCTAAGGTACCCTAGGAACACACTGGGTGGACTAACATATGCATGTGAAAGTTGCATAAGGGGTAAGAGAAAGAGATAGGAACAGAGAAATTATTTGAAGACATAGGGGCCAAAAACTTCACAAATTTGATGAAAGACGTGAATATAAACATCCAAGAAACTCAGTGAACTCCAGGTAGGATAAACTCAAACTCACCAAAGCACATAATGAAACTTCGAAGAGAGAGAGAATCTTGATAGCAGCAAGAGAGAACTAACCTATTACATATAAGGGATCCTGAATAAGCTTGTTAGGGTATTTCTTGTCAAAACCTTTGGAAGCCAGAGGAAGTGGGCTAATATATTCAAAGCAGCAAGAGAAGAAAACTGTCAACTAAGAATTCTGTATCTGAGAAAATGCTTTCAGAAGTAAAGGGGAGAAATGAGGATATTCTCAATTAAAAGCTGCTGGAGAGTCTCTCTGAAGAGACCATAGTGGAGCTGAACTTGTGAACTGGTAATCCCATTGTCTATAAATTGGACAAGAACTTGAAGCCCATCAAGCCCGTGAATGAAAAAAGTTCCTGGGGGATGAAGAGACCGTGCATAAAGCCATGGAAGCTGTGGCTGCCCAGGGCAAGGCCCAGAAGTGAATGCCAGCAAGCTGACTGCTCTCTCAAGGAACACTCCCTGCCCAACCATTCTTCTTCACCTCCTTTCTGCACATGCCACACTGACCACATCTGTAGGCATCTTACGTTGCAGCTGCAGATGGGAACTCGTGGCTCCCATTTTCATTGTAACCATTTTTGTCTCCTGCACCCACTTGCTTCATATAATCTAGTCAGAATAGCACCTCTGGTGCAGGGAGAAAGTTCCCCTTATCCAAGATAGTTGAGAGGTAGTGACTTGGGCTTTTGCCAGGGCTTTGTTTACTAAGGACCTTTGTGGGAGGAGCCATGCTGTCATGACCAAGGAGGAGAAGCAAAGAGAGCCTATTTGACCCCAGGAGCCAATCCTGTACTCTTCTCTAGTCAGACTACTGTCAGGAGAGCTCTGCTCATTCCAGTGGAAGATGGCTGTAACCTGCACAGTGATGTGAAAAAACAACCATTTCCTCCCTGACCCCAGGGAAGGTGGCTCTAGAAGGTTGAGAGCAATCCTGTATTAAGTTCATGTGTTAGATTTACTTTTCCAAAAAACTGTATGTAAAAATAATACGAAACAAAAACCCTTCTGGGATTTTTTATTATTTATTTATTTATTTATTTATTTATTTGGGAGACAGAGTCTCACTCTGTCACCCAGGCTGGAGTGCGGTGAAGCAATCTAGGCTCACTGTAAGCTCCGCCTCCCGGGTTCACGCCATTCTCCTGCCTCAGCCTCCCGTGTAGCTGAGACTACAGGTGCCCGCCACCACACCCAGCTAATTTTTTTAAAATTTTTTT